AATTCATACATTAAACCATATTATACATTTTTAGTTCAAAAAGATCTATTTGCACAGAAGGACGTCCGTTTTGGCGTTTTGCGTCGATTCACGATAAGCGTTGTTTCACTTTTCAAAATGTTGCCACCAAATATTATCGCCCTGTATTATGCTTAAAGAAATTAAGTAATGAAAAATCTGCATGAATCTAAGTATGCTTCTTGAATTGTGATAAAGTAACGCTACCTAGGGCCATCAAAGTTAGAATAACGTAATCTTCCACAGAATATGAGCATGTGGAAGCCCTAATTTAAATTCGAAATTTGTTTTATTATCGATTTCATATTTTGTAACACTTCAACGAGTCTTTGATTAGCAAACTAAACGATTTCAAAGCGAGCAACGGCAACACTGTACGGAATGTATATATCCAGCGCGGGAGATGCTGTATCGGAAATTCTGAAGATATGATCATTTTACAATTATTTTGCGATATTGCTGTTGAGCTGAATTTTATGGTTTAAATGCGAAGAACATGATATTTAATAAATAAAGCAAATGCACAAAATGTTAAAAAACGCCCCTTTGGACGTAATTTAAAATCTGAAAACCTTAAGATTTTTTTTTAATTGCAACTTTTTTTTAGCTTAAATTTTCAAACATTTTTACTTTACACTTAAAATTGTTGTTGTACATGTTCATGCTGCTTGAAACAAATTTTACATTCCCTTTTGATGTGACACCAGGAGAAAAAATTGAATTTAGATATCTAATTATAAATTCCTAATTATTTTGCAAATTCCTGGAACAAATATTTTAAGGCAAGGGATTATAAGTATAGAGAGTTTGCATTTTAACTACTATCTATACTTATTCTTTCTCATATTTGTACTTTTAGTGGTTAAGAATTAAATAAAATAAACAAATCCGTTAAAAATTTAACTTTAGGTAAAAGGAAATAGTAAGAATGCATATGAATGTTCTTTTATCTAAAATTTGGGTACTGATTACAATTTCTGCTAAAAATCGAGTGTTCATTTTACGATAAAACTCTCTGTAGAAATATTCAAACTAAAAGGTTCAGTTTTGTGCGACAGATGGCAGCACTTGTCATTAAAATAACGTATGCCTGATAGTAACCATCGTACTGAAGAAATTTTATCAAGATTAAAATTATACCGAAGTTCTTTTCTTTTCTTTTCTTTTTTTTTTTTTTTTTTAATTTTATGTGTCATGTAAAACTATTTCACCTCGAAAGTGGTCTTCTTAATCGAACCTTCTTCGAAACACCGTAATTTTAGAATGAAATAATTTACTTTATTACTAAGTACGAAACAATGAAACGGAAGCGTTAAAATTTTTTTACTAACTCTCATTTCTTCAAAATTTTTATTCATTCCTCTTAAAACTTGGGATAATGACATTGTCAGTACTCTAAAGCTGTATCTTATGAAATTCGAATTCTTAAGCCTAATGTTTTCTTCAGTTTTTAGCTTAACTTCTAGAACTGAATATTAAATCAGTAGGAAGTAATACGAAAAATCACATTATCGGCTGTTCAAAACGCTTATTTTTTAAAAGTGTACAACTGATAATGTTCAGAAGTGTATTAAATTTTTTTAAATTATGGCATTACTTTAAAAAAATAATAATAAAAAAACATACATAATCTCGGATTAAAATAATTACTTCAAAAATTCATATCTGGAGTTATTAATGTCAATCTGGAGTCATTAATTAAATTTCATGAGCCTCAGGGAGTTGACTCATAATCCTGACGCTCGTGAAACTTATACAGCTCGGCAGTCAATGATATCTTGATATACACTTCTACTTGATATGTACAAGTAAAAAATACGTCTTCTTGCATGATTTGATCCTGAGATAGTTAGTACAAAACTGTGAGCTTGTGAAGTTAATGATTCATCTTTAGCAGCGTTTCAGAAGACGCTCATGAAGGACTTTAAAAAAGCAACAGAATGGTAATTGAAAAAGTCAAACAACAAGAATCAACGTAATATTTGTAAATTTTTTGCAAGACTGGTTTCGTTGGCTTAACTACAGACACATCTGCCTCAGCTGCTTAAATGCAAATGGAGGTTTCATTAAAGAAAAACTCATGAAAGTTCACATGTAGGTAATCCTTTCGGCAACCAAGTTTCTCCAGAAGGAAATAACAATAATCCTGATCAGGGCCGTATTAACGCATGCGTCCGTGGGGCACTTGCCCGGGGTTCGACGAGAATAGCGGCCACATGCTATGCATTTGCATTTACATATAATTTGGATTACATCTCAGTGAGTTGTGGTCCTATAATTTGCATAACATTTCTGTGTTTCCTGCTGTTTCTGTGAGTGGTACACTGGTTTGCCCAAGGGCCCATGATGCTGCTGATCCTCTCTTTTGTCCGTTTGTTCAATAGTGCTCTATGATTTTTACGAAAAGCTAAGGAAATATGCTTCAAAACTATGCACATATACGTAAAAAGAACAACTTTTCTTGCATGAAAAGGGAAATCGAAGTTTCGTGTTTGTTTACTGAGATATGGTTGTTACATCCCTTCTTCGAAATTAAACACTTATATGTATAAAACTTAACTGAGAACAAAAATGTAGTTTTTGGATTCTGGCTGTAACTATACGCATACTTATTTTAATTATCAGAAGTATACAATACTTAAAAATCTTACGCTAGTTGAATTATTATTATTGAATTCCTAAATAACTTCTTTAAGTGTATTTTTCTTAAACCTTCTTCAGTTTCTCCTACTGCGCTAATCATGCAGACGATTTGCGTCATACTATATAATTGAGATTCACTAAAGCTGTTCACATGACAAGAGATAAAAAATTAGTAATTAAAGAATAAGTTTCAGCTTCGTTCTATGAGTTCCAGTGTGTCATTTTAAAACGAAAAACGAAATATCATCTATATAACTGAATGCAGCTGCCTTTGCTTTTTCAAGTAAATTTAAGTGTTTCTTTTTCTTTTCCTCCTTTCCTTTGGTTTTATTTAACTAAGCTAAATAAATCAGTGGAGGCTTTATTTAGTATATTCTTTTGTTTCTTTGTTTGATTCAAATCTTGAAATTAATTTGGGTCTTCTACTTAACCGAATTTCTTGAAACTTTTCACGTATGCCATTTGCGATGGCAGAATACATTACACACAATTTTTTCCCCGAATTCAGCATAGATATTTTTTTTTTTTTTAAATTGACGTTAGGCCTTTTTTTTTCACATTTCTTAATGTCAAAATAACAATTATTTCAGAATTTCGATCTTTCTCTGATTAGATAGATTAAAAAATAATTTTCCAGACGATGTTTTTCGTCCTAACGTAATTGCCGGATTTCAGATGATTTTCAGAAATTATTCTTTTTGGTTTCTTTTTCTGAAAAAACCCGAAAAGAATTCCCTCTACCCTTTTCTCTACCAAGCTATTATGCGGTTGTTCATTATGATGGATATTTAGATAAAAAGCTTTATCCTTTAATTGTTAGTAGACCCCATATTTTTAACTGAGGATGAGATCATATTTCTAAATCGAGTAGAAGTTATATTGATTCAGCGTAACTTTATGTCTTTGGATAAATTCATAAATGAAGGAACAAGGAAAGATGCTTACCGCGTACTTCATAATTCATCTCATTAGAAGGAAAAAAACAATTGTGGCAAATTTAAATGATATTCCTTTCGTTTTAGTTAAACATTTGCGGCCACATTACATGGCACACCACTTGTGCCTGTTCCAGAACATAACATTCACATTTTTGAGTTCTTTGCGGGGAGAAGAGAAGCAGCAAGCAGCGGTTTAGCTAGGGCGAGAAGCAGAAGCAAAGTGTTTTGTGTTTAGGACAAAATCTTAATTCAGAGTGGATTAGTTTCGGTTTCAATACATTTTTATTGGATAATTAATACAGCTCTAAAACTACTACGAGATTTTCTAATTAGCAGGCTCTTGCAAAATGGAACTAAAACCCAAAATTAACCAATCGCAGATTAGCTGCACTTAAGCACCTAATATCTAGTATAAATAGCTACTAACTGCATAGTCTCTCTCTCTTTCGCATCTTCGTCTGCCAGCTAATAGCGTGTCGTTCAGCCTCTGCTAGCTATCCGCCATTATTAGAAATGTAATTGCATATCTCAATTTGTGGGGCGCGTTTGGCACCCCTAATCTTCTACCAGTTATAAAGATAAGTGCTAAGAAATTCGCCATCCAAAAATAAATGATGTTTAACTATCAAGGTGATCATGTTTCTTATAAAATTTCATCGGATCATTCCACGCGATTTCCAATCATAACGCAGTTAAAATACTACATATATATACAGAAAAACTTCTAACGTAATTATTGAATTTCAAATTTTATGTAAAAAACACTTTAAAAGTAAAATCCTGCGTTGCAAAGATAAAATTTAATTTAATGGCGAATATATAACTGAAAAATTATTGCCTATGAAGTGTGAAGTAAAATTTAGACAGTAAATGTGCACTATTGTGGAAATTAATAATTGGAATTTGTAAATAATTAAATTGAAATTATTAATTAAAATGCAAAACTAAAGAACAAGATAAGAGAATGATTGCTGATTCCTAAAAAAAACCCCGACCTGTTAATGGGAATTTTATTCTCTCCATACAATAACCAACAATTCTATGCTTTGTAAGTTCACGATTTTAGTTGAGCGCACTAAAGAGAGAGTTAGCTACCGACAAAATTTTAGTTATACGTAACTAAAAATAAAATTTTTGGAAGCCGTATAAGAATTGGAACTATGATATATGAGAATGGTCACATTTTACTATCTTAAACATTTAAATTCCATTATTGTTAGCTGTAACAAAATTTAATTTTCAGTCTCATATCATCAAAAATATTATGATAGCTGAAAATACTGTTTTTCACATTTTAGGGCATTTAACTAAAATTATGTAACTAAATTTTTTATACGTTTTACTCTTATAAAAATCTATTTTATTGGAATTATTGAAATATGGAAATTAAATAACACTCACCGATATCATCTGGTAGGAGTGATTCATCATGGCTATGAGCAGGTTGAGCAGCACCACTACATTAATAACGCAATAGGAACCAAACATCAGCAACCCCCAGAATCGGGTATAACTCTGAATGCCTGTCAGTTCAAAACTGTCCAAGTCGATGAGACCGAAACTGGCCCAGAAAAGTGTCTGGGAAGATTCAAAGAGACTGAAATGGAGAAAAAAAGTATAAATAATATTTTGCATATTTTTTTAAACATAAGATTAATTCGACACATTTCTTTGAAAGTTTAAAGTAATAATCCTCGAACGGCAATATAGGGCAATATCCAAGAGATCCAAAGTACTG